CACAGAGCGAGGTGCAGCGACACGGGTCGTGCTTGTCCAGGTAGTGCTCCAGCGTGTCCCAGCCGCCCCCGACCCGCACCATGATGTGCTCCCGCAGGATCTGAGGACAGGATCCCGCAGGATCTGTGCCGTGAGGCCCGGAGAGGTGCGCACCATGTCCCATGGGACACCCCCCCCCCACCTCTTTAAGCAGCCTGGGGTGATGTGCTGAGCCAGGCTTCGTTCTCCAGAGCCCTGGGCTTGCCCTAAGTGCCACCAGGGCTCCCAACGGGGCTCAGCTCCCACTACCATCCCAATGGACTTGTTTCATCACCCCAAGGATGGTGGGGAGCCTTTTGGGAAAGCCCCTCTCCACCACCATGCGCTGAGCAGGGCTGAGCCCTTCTGGAAGACAGGCTTAGGGATGGATCTAGGCAGGGACAGAGCATCCCCGTGTTCCCATTGCTGGGTAAGACATGGCTCTGGCTCGGCGTGGGATGGCTGGGTTTGTCCCAGACACGTGGGTGGTTACTTCCATGCAAACACGTCCTGCAGGGCGGAGCTTCCCTGCTTTGGGGATAATGGTCAAAAACCCCACATTGGCCCCATTTGGGGGATGGGTTATGGAAGAGGCTTCATGGGAGCAGAGCAGGATTCCTGGTGCTTGTGCCCCAAAGCACAGGGTGAAGTGGACTCACCCGGACAAAGATGAGGGTGTCAGAGTCACCCACGCGGTATTTCCCTTCGGATATCTTGATCATGGGGAACTGGACGGGGCAGGTACAGCGGCTCACCAGGTGCTGGACCTGTGGGCAGCAGGGATGGGCCCTCACTAGGGCTCCTGGAAAGGGTGATGGGGTGGCCATCCCCATCCTCATCTCCATCCCCATCCCACTCCATGCCCCTCCGTACCATCTGGTCGAGGTTGTGGAGGTCCCGGAGTTTCCTGGGGGGCCAGGGCAGGGGGGTGTCCGTGGGTGGCAGGTCCAGCTCCTGGCGGAGCTCTTCCTCGATCTCCTCCTCCATCTGCACGAGGGTCGGGGCACGCATGCCGAAGCGGGCAGCGCGGCGCGCCAGCTCCAGCAGGCACAGGACAAAGTTCTTCTCGTTCTTCCTCAGCACCAGGTCCTCCGTCTCGAACATCAGGACATCTGGGGCAGGGCAAGGGTGGCCTGAGCCAGGGTGGGCACGTGGGGCTGGGGACGAAGGGGCCAGGGGGCACAGGCAGAGTCAAAACCCGCCTGAAGGGATCTTATTCCCTGGAGCCATCCCACTGGGAATCTCGTTGGATCCAGCAAAGGTTGGGATAAATTGACAGAGGAAGAGCCTTCCCCTTGAGTATCTACAGGCAAAGGCTCTACAGCTGTTTCATGGCATCCCAAACCACAAACCCCTGTGGTGGGTGCTCTGAGGATGTGTCACTCCATGCCCATGCCCTTCCCGGGCATCCACTGGTGGTGGGGACAGGGTGACAGACCCTTTGCTCAGAGCCAGCACTGGTCCTGATGTCCTTGATCATGCCATACATGGCAGAGCCACGGTGCCGCACACACCCTTTCCATTGCACTCCCCCTGGCACATGTTTGCACCCGAACGAACATGCCCGCCGCGTGCCAGCACCCTGCAAAACTGCTGCCGAGCCTGGAGGAGCTTGTGCAAGAAATCCCAGCTCAGGAATTTCTTGTGTTTGCCGTGCTGCCCGATGCCAGCGTGGCACCAGCTTTGGGGGACCCACAGGAAAGCACCCGGAGTGATGCCAGGAGCAGCTGGAGGGGTCTTACCTTTAATATCCATCTCCTTCCTGCACCACTGGATGAAGTTGGAGATGTTGTCCCTGGCCTGGAAGGTGCCCGGCTGTGCCGCGAGGTTGCAGGCGACGCCGGCAGTAGGCAGGTGGAGGTGGCAGGCCACGCCGGGGCAGCTGCGGGCAAACTCCCCAGCTACGTGGGTGATGTTGTTGGCGTGGGAACAGAGCACAGCCCCCGTCTCCAGCACCTCCACGAAGGTGCCCACCTCGATGTCCAGGTCATACAGCTCCTTCAACCACTCAGCCAAGTCCTCCTTCATGGCGTAGAGGTACTGCTCGCTGGACCGGTAGGGACGGATGCTCCGCACTGCAGCACCCGGCGTCCCCCACATTTTGCCATAAGGCTGAGAGGAGACCGAGGGAAAGGGGTGATGGGGACACAGGGCCCTGCCCTGGACTGTGTTCCCAACCCACCTCCCCAGTTGCCACACTCACCCGGTGCCACTTGCTCTCTGCCACCCGGGAGGTGACACCGTCCTCCTGTGGTGCCAGGAGCCCTTCTCAGGGTCAAGGGCTGTAATGCAGCGTGGGGTAAGGAAATCACCCTCCTGGGCAGTGGGTGTTTTGTTTCCTTCCCAAGTACTGTTCCCTTCTCCTTGGTGACAAGGGACAGGCTGCAGACACTCCCCGTTAACCCTTCAGTGCCTGCTCCTCTGCCCGGAGCCCTGCTCCTTCTTTGCCAGCCCGTCCGGGTGGATTTTCTCCGAGGTCTCCAGCTCCAGGGCAGGAGGGGGTTAGAGAGCAGCTCTTAGCACCTCAAGTTGCTCACAACCCCAAAAGAGGGGAGATTTGCCCCCTCCCCACCACCCCTACACCCATGTCCACTGCAGGTGGGGTGACCTGGGGGCCCTACAAGATGCATCTTCAGGGCTTGGTTCCACTGAATCAATAGCCCTGAGGCAGCCACATTTTTGCACCCATTTTACAGGCTCAGATGCACTGCTGAGATGCCACTGCATGCTGTTGCAAGCCCAAACATGCTGTGGCAAGGAGCCCACCCAAGCAACAAAGCCCCAGCATGGGTGACCCTGAGCACAGCTCCCACCTCCCTGGCTGGGGGGGCCCAGAAGGATGGAGAGAGGCTGACCTCCATGCAGGTGTGGTGTGAGGACCTCCGAACACATCATGGGGTGATGATCAGACCGGTCCCTCCACACTCCTCCTGCCCTCCACACACCCAGCCCGGGGCACAGCGGCACCAGGAGCTGGAAACCCAAACCCCGAGGCAAGATCTTCCCAAAGCCATATGGATTGGGGCAGAGATCCCTCAGAGACAGCTGGTCCTGATGGTGGCTGGACTCTCAACCTCCTCCACTCAACCATCCCATGGTGTTTCTGTGCAACCTGGAAATGTCCCAGTGGAAAGAGCCAGAGGAGGAGGAAGAGGCTGAAGAGCTACAAGAGGCAGAGGGTAGCGACAGAGATGCCACTGCACCAGCTTGCTCTGTGCTTTCCACCCAGATGTGGAGCAAGGGGCTGGTCTGAGGGCTGAGCAGCCCCAAGGAGTCCCTGGACTCCCATGCTCTGCCCCGCCGGCTCCCCCTCCACCCCCAC